GACCGGACAGGGCTTCGTGTCTCCCTGTGCAGGAAGCTCTGCCAGCCCCACTTCCTCGTACAGGAACTGACCTGAAAGTATATCAAAGGTTCAAGTTATTTCAGTCTCGGCAGTCAACTGACAGGAGCCTTCTGAAGGCCTGTCAGCTGAGTTTCTGCTGGTGTCCCACTGACTAAAGCCATTGTGACCAGTTTCCTTAGAACCATGTCAGTAGGTGGGGTTCTGACCACCTCTTTTTATACACATCTTCAGTCACTTTATCTGGATGTCTTACCCAGTCCTCAATTAGCATATCATTAAAGCTCAAACACTTACCCAGCAGACCGTGGCAGTTGTGGGACAGCCCCTTGCTGTTCCCAATGCAGCACCCCAGGTGGTCTGTCTGGTAGGGGGCTGGGTTTTTGTACCGGTGCAGCAAGATCACAAAGCTGATGTTATCTCCAACTGTCACTGTCACGTTAGAGTTTCCCACAATAGCCACTGACAGTGCGCCACTGTCTACCGCAACAGTGGAGTGACAGGGCAAAACCATGCGGTCCCGTCCGTCCAGGATGACTTTCTTTGGGGTCACTTCGATGTAGGCACGTCTGGGTCGATCCACCACAATAGTGATGGTGCTGAAGTAGGTACGCTGGTGCTTGTGGCTGCCTGGTGGAGCTGGGGAACCGATGAGCTTACCGTTCACTGTTACACCTGGAGAACAGAAATGAGCCATCATGAGCGTAGAGCCCCTAGTGGCTGTTAGTGATGTTAAATAGCACTGTGAGTCTTACCAGAGTACTTGTGGTCAGAGACCAGGCGAAGGATGTGTCCAGGGTCACCGTTAATGTTAAAGCACACGGTCAGTTTACTCAGGGGGAGCTCCACCACAAAGTGAGGATCACCATCCGCTGATGTAGTCAAAGGGAAGCAGAGGGGGAGGGAAACACAGGAACATAGCAAGGACGCCTGTGAGTCAGGTGCTTAAAGTGAAACTTCATTTGAATTTAATAAAAAAAAAAAACAACATATTTTAAAGGTTTTCATCCATAATTGGCCATGTCAGGAGAAAACGTTGCATTAATAAATCAACTGTGAATTTTTTTTTAACCATTTTCTGCTGGGAGAATTAGGACACATGACCATGGTATTTCAGTTTCCTAGTTACAGCTCTACTATCCAGTACTACTGTCAATGCATATTTAGCTTTTAAAAAACAGAAAGCTCCAGGAAGAGGAGGGTTGGGACTATGGCTGTCTTTATGATAAAGTACATTTTCCAACCATGTAATAATAAACTGTCTTATGGTGCCTCTGGATTCTAACCTCTGATATCTTGGACTTCGTGAGAAGATGTGCATAAAACGGGAAATAAAAAATGGCAGTTGCTGATTGGTATATTTTTTATGGCAGTGTTTCTAAGGAGATTTATCACTGTTTATTAGCAAGCTCAGTTTATATCCTATGAGATAGTTTAGCTGGAGTCTCCTCAGGGTTGTGAGAACCAGCTAAAATGACTGGAGGAGTGCTTAGATGAGATGATAGAGCAACAGTAATGACAGGGTTATTAGCCCTGACTAACTGCCTCTGATGGGGTCCTCCTCTTTACTGTAACATGCACAAACATCCACTTGTAAACTCTTTAGTCTGTCCTGTTTGCCCACTGTGTGTGTTTCCAGGTTATGACCAGAGGCTTCCCTTAACCCCTCGCTGTCTGACCGCTGCCGGCTGTCTGACGAACATCACAATAACAGACTGCCCACAAAGAGTGCAGATATAGTATTGTACATTACCCCTCCTCTCTTGCAAGCCTCACTATGGAGCCATGTAACCACTGCATGTAATCGTACAGTACATAGGGTTTGGAGGCTGTCAGATGGAATAGGCAGAGGGATGCACACTGTTTGCATGTGGACTCACCTGATGTTTTGGTGATGGTGATGGCTTTCTTGGCTGGTCTCCTCTCAGCTTCACCTAGAAAAAGAAGAGAATATTTATCTCCTGTAATGAGTCAAAAGAGCTACCAGTGTTTAGTATTTTCTCTGATGACCCACCAACATTAACTGTTGGTGGTCAGTATGGTGGCCGAATCTTATATTAAAAAAAGCCTACCTCAGAATTCTTCAGTGGTTAAGCTTCAAGCTAGTTTTAACCAGCTTCTCACCAATTTTAGAACACTTTCTCTCCAGTGTCAGATCAGATTTAGGGCAGTTTCATGCCTATTTTAGATCACTTTTAGACCACACTATTAGGCCACTGTACTAGTGTAGTACAGGGTGTGAGAAGAGAGAGAATAATTATACTGTCTGCACATTCTGTTAAAGGAATACTCCACCAAAAATCACCCCTTGAGGGCTTGAAATGTGACTCTGACAAGTGTGTAGTTTGTGTCTTTGCAGAGGATGATACAGTTACAGCTCAACTCAAAATATTTCTGTGGAGTGTTCATGTCACCTGTGGTAGCAGACTTGTCAGGCACCCTGTACAACCAAATCTAGGAGAGACAGCCTCACCGACTGTGTTGCCCAGAGATGAAGTCTGACTGCTGGGCCTCCCGTCAGGTTTCTGTGGCCTCCCTTCCTCTGTGTCACCTGGCAACTCATTGGCAGCTAAGACAACC